AAAAAAGTCAGAATTCTGACTTTTTTCCCATACTATACTGAAATAAAATTAAAAAAGCAGCTTACTTTTTTTAATTTTTCCAGTGGCCCTAATCCTCTTCCGTATGTAAATGATCTGATCTATCAAAAAATTGTCTGGAAGCGGCACTAGTGGGCTATGCAGTGACACCCCTATAAATGATTCTAGTTATATTTTATATTTATTTTTTTTTCTTGAATCTTCATTCTTAGTTATATTATGTTGTAATTTCTGTCCTGCTTTTATAAAGGCATTCTATATTTCTACACTGATTTTCATTATATTCAACTTTTTATCATTTTCAGTGAAATATAAAAAAAAAAAATTCATGACTTTTTTTGTTTATTTCTCTTTTTTCTGGTTTTGTTATTTTATTCAAATTTTTATGTGGCTTTTAACTTGATGTAGTTTTATTTCTTGGTTTTAATGTAATTTGTTTGTCACAGTTTTAATCAATTTTTTTGAATAAAATCTAACTTTTTCATTTTTTCCTATCCAGCTTACACAATTTTTTCCATTCCAACTTTTATGTTTTCTTGTATAAGATATTGCTCTGATTACATTTTGAGTAAATTCCAGATACTGATGGTGATTTTCTTTGTATCACATCTTAATGCTATATTCCTTATTTTATCCTGAGTTTGTTTCTGTTTTTATTCTGTTTGTTTCCTTTTTCTGGAAGCAATTATTGTTTCATTTATTAATTTCTTTGTAAAATTTTCAAAAGGAAAACTGATGTAATACCCTGACCACATCACATATGCACTCAACACTCTTTGAAGCTCTGTCCTTGCAGAGAAAGAATGGGAAAATTTCTACATAAAGTTACCATAACACGTCCCAAGTCTACGGCAGCTGATTACAGTTAAACAGGTTCTCTTAATTAAACTCAGGTTTAATTAAATTCTATTCAATTAAAAAAACCGCTGCACAGTGTCACACTGCTGCCTTGCAGCAAAAAGGTTATGGGCTTGATTCCCAGCCTTTCTGAGTTTGCATGTTCTCCCTGAGCATGCGTCGATTCTCTCCAGGTACTCCGTCTTCCTCCCACAGTTCAAAAACATGACTGTTAGGTCAATTGGCTTCTTTAAATCCTCCGTAGTTATGAGTGAGTGCATGAATGGTTGTATGTCCTGTTTGTCTCTGTGTTGCCCTGCGATGGACTGGCGACGTGTCCAGGGTGTACCCCGCCTCTCACCCTTTGACAGCTGGAGATGGGCAACAGCACCCCTCGCGACCTAAGCAGGAATTGGCATGATGGAAAATGGATGGATGGATGGATGGATATGTTGCACATGCACACGGCTGGGGTGTGATTTTGTGTGTTATCTTTGGAATGCTTTTTATTTTTTCAGCTTTTTTCTATTGTCGTTACACTGTCAAAAGTACAGAGCAATGAAATGAACTCTCTGCATTTAACCCATACCTTTGGGGAGCAGTAGGCTTTCTTTGGGCGATGCCTGGGGAGCAGTTTGGGGTTCAGGGTCTTGCTCAGGGACCCAGAGTTTCAGTCCGTGGCAGTAGGGCTGAAAATTTTTTTAGAAATTGGATTTGATGAATCCTACTAAAACAAAATGCTTCTTCCCTAGTCTTTTTGTCATTTTGTAAACCTGTAAAATACTTAATTTATGCAGAATGTGAAAATGAAATGTTTAATTTTTCATGGTGAACAGCGGTGCAGCTGATAGCTCCATTGCCTTGCAGCTCCTCAGTTCAGATCTTGCTACACGGAGTTTACAGTTCTTCCTGTGTGTATTGAGGTTATCTTGCTTCCACCCATAGTCCAGACTGTTAGTTGTTCCATAATTGTCATTTTCTTTAATATTAAAATGTTAAGTACTGTATTTCAGGTGTATAATTGAAATTCAAATCTCAGTAAGATTTGGTTAAAAATCCAGAACAGATCAGAATGGAAATCTGCAGGAAGGTTTATTTTGATTCAGTGAAGAACATAATTTTACCACAGCTAAATACAGTGATAATGATAATGATAATAATAACAATAAGAAAATCTCATAATTTCTATAATCTGTACTGTAGAAAGGAAGGTAAACAAAATGGAGGTGGTAGAGTATAAATGCTTTAGTGATCGGCTGAACAACAAGCCTGACTAGAGACACAACCGCAAAGCTGTCTACAGGAAGACAGAGAGCAGAATGTGTTTCCTAAGGAGGCCTAGGTCCTTCATTGCTGCAGCAAGATGCTATATCTCTTCTATGATTCTGTTGTGGATTAATCAGATCCTGCAACATCTGACAGGGTAAAAGTACTGGAGCAAATGACTTAAAAAAAAAAAAAACAACAAGCTGATAGGAACTCTTCTAGAGCCTCTATGGAGGATTTCACAAAAAATAATTATTGATAAAGTAAAGAACATTATAAACAACAGTGAGCATCCTCTTCATCACTGTTAAAGACCAACAGAGGGTCTTCATCATATAGTACTATATATATATATATCTTTTGATATGAATTCCCTACAGTAAGAAAGTTTTTATCTTTTTTTTTTTATTTTCCAGACGATAAATCAGATCAGTGAGGATCCAAACAACATGTGGTTAATACTCCAACCAACTCCAAAGCAGGTTGCTTTCACAACATCTGAAAAACAGCCCTGATTCTTGTTCTTTCTTCACAGAATGCGTCTCGAGGACAAGAAGGGTCTCGTGGGGATGGAACGATCCCTTCCTTGCCGAACAGAAAAGGCTCAGTGGGACGTGGAGATGTGTTTGTGATTGACGAGGACACCGATCTGTTAGATCCAATATTTCAAGGTGGTGGAGTAGTGAATCCTCAGTGGAGACCTTCTAGAAATGGACAGAACGGCGGGCAGAAGGGTAAACCAGATGTGTCTTCCAAAAAAGTGGAGGAGAACATTACAACAGAGAAGGAAACAGATTCTAGGACTTCATTGGTTGTTCCTCTAAAGCCTTCAGACAATATCATCGACTTGGATGTTGGAGGTTCCCCAAAGAAGCCATCTCTGGGAATCCCTCTGTTTCCTAAGATGCCCTCCCATCCAAGAACATCAACCGAATCAAATGAGCTGATAGAGGAATCTCCAGACAGAACAGGTATTGTTTCACCCACACGCAGCTGGACCCCTATCGCTGCCCAGACAACCAAACCCCTGGTACATGGAAGCAAGCCTAACAGTGAAGGCAAAGATCCAGGCAGAGGCAGGCCTCGGATTGTGACGACTGAATCCAGGGATGGAGATCTGGTCCTGGGCTCTGATGGGAAAACGTACAGGCTCAAGAAGGGACCACCTGGCAGGATGGGACCCCCCGGACCAGATGTAAGTGAACTTTTTTTTCTCTTCTCTTATACTTTTTTGTGGCTTTTTGTTTTACAAATGTTACTATATGCAAAGCTTAGAGGACGCATTTATGTTAAAGTCTATTTTCAGCTAGTGCACTAAGTTTAAACCTTCTACTTGACACTCAAAAGATTAGAACTTTGAATCAAATAGAACAAACTAACAAGGGGTTATTTTAAACAAGGGATGAGTAATGGAGGTATTTGTTAAACAGGAATCTCCTCACTTATTTGCGGCCTCTATTTGGGGTTGGTCCATCAGTGGCTCTTAACGAGTGATTCTACTGCCATGTCAGGGCAGAAACACCATTTTATTATGGAAAACTTTGTGTTTGCATCTTTAAGTTTTCTCTCCTGTGTAATTTCCCGAGAGGAGATCACTCAGAACGAACCCTTCAAATAATACTTTCCAATGTAGATATATAAAATGACTATGAGACATGAGAACAGATTTAAAAGAAATTGAAATCTTACTCGGACAAAGAAATTGCTCAGGTTTACAAATGGTAGCGCTTACCACCAGGCTCGCTTCTTCAGAAAGATGGAATAACAGTTAAAGAAGCATTTTAGACATCTCCTGGATCACACCCTGCCCCCTCATCACATCATTACATCATAAACATGTTTGTAAATCAGGATTAATCACTGGCTCCACCCATATCAACTCAACTCAACTCAAACTTTATTTATAAAGCACATTTAAAACAACCGGGTTTGCCAAAGTGCTGTACAGGAATCACAGTTAAGGAACATAAGATAAAAGCTAAAGGCTAAAATACATAAACACATAAAAATAGAATAAGATAAATGTTTCAATTCAAATACATTTTAGAATAAAATAAAATTTTAAATAAAATTTTGCCAAATATCCACCTAGACATGATTAAAAGCCATCAAATATATCAAAGTAACACAGTGTTTAGGATTAAGGAGAATCCGAATGCATTGTGACAGAGCTCTATATTAAGAATAATACACTGTATCTATGCTCTCATTTTATTTCCAAATCTTGTCCTAATTAGATAAACTACTGGGGAAAACATTAGCCTTCACACTTATCAGAAAGGTATTTTGAGGGTTAAATAAATATATAAATAATGAAAAATAATCCCAACAGTATGGAGCGAATATTGTTCTGATAGTGAAGGCAAAGAACAAATTTTGTAAATGGAAATTTAAAAAAAAATATATATATACATATATATTATCAAGAAATGAAGCTTTGAAAAACTTCTTTATAAAAAAGACTACTGCTCAGACTAAGGTTGCTGTTTTCTCAGATTTTATTCTTTTATTTTATTAAGGGATAAATTCATTAATCATTTTATTTAATTTTTCCCATTATCAAATGTTTTCACTTTTTTTTATATGTTGTTTTCCCTCTCAAATTGCCCTTTTCCTGAAACCAATTTTTGCAAATGTTATGCTTTTGCATTTTACAATGCATTTCTATTGATGTGCATGAATTTTTATTGGTGAATGTGCAAATCAAAAGCTAGCTTTCAGATTGGGTTTGTAGTTTAAAGAAAGGGATCTGTTAAATGTAATTTGAAAAAAAAAATCTGATTTGTAAAACTCAATCTGAACAAAGAGAAATTTGAAAAACTAAAATTTAACAATAAAAAGTTTACAATTAGTTTTTGAAAAAAAATAGTTTGAAAAACAATTGATTTGAAAAAATATCCAAAAAGTTTAATTTCTGAATTGCATATTTTAAAAAAATCAACATTTACATAATATGTTATTTGCTTTTAACAATAAAAGAACAAAAATCTCTCAATAACTACACTTATGAGTTTATCCTCATTGTGGAATATTCCTTTGCTTTTGTTACATGAGAGACTAAGAACCAAAAAACATGGAACTCATTTTAAGGCCTGTATGCATGATGTAAGTCTGGGGCTGTGAGTCAGATTAGGCAGGCGATATGAATGAACAGAGTGAGATAAATGGTTCTGGTTGAACACTTTCTGTTCTTCGTCAGCGTCCACCTGAAACCCATCAGCGACGGTCTCACTGCTCAGACATGCGTTGATCTAAACGCCTTTGATGCCGACATGTGTGAACATTAGGGGACCTCATTGATTCTTAGAACATTTTCTAATGTAACACTATTAATCTTTCACTTTTTATTGGTGTGCAGGAGTGAGATTTATTCCTTTTGATTGGATTTCCTGGTGTAGGAAGTAGGTGATTACAGCAGCTGTAGGGTAGATTAAACCAAATGCAGACTCGCTGATTGGTGACATGCAGCTAAAGGTGCAGTGCCTTAAAATCCACTCAGCAGAATAGCTGTAGAGGCAATGCAGGCTAATGCAAGTTATAGGCTTCCATTTTCTTATATACAACATATACTTTTTAGAAATTTAGCTGAACTGGATGGTTTAGTAAGAAGTTGGGTAAAGTCATAGAGGTTTTTCTGCACATTGAGCAGATTGCAGAAAAATGCACCTTTTTTTGTAATAACGCTGTCATTGAATCAGTGGCTTTGCGCCATCGTTAAACACATGCTGGAGACCCACGAGCATTACAGCTCTTCATCTAATCTGTTTTACTCTCAGCCCTTTTCTATTGGAATGAATAAATGTTGGACAGAAGAATCAGTTCTACCTCTTTTGTGAAATTGGGAGAAGAAAACACCGCTATTAATATAATACCTTTTATTTATTTTAAATCACTGTTTGTTTTTCTGTGGATAGGACTGAATACGTCAGTCATCACTTAATTCCAGGTTTTGATGTCAAGGTGTCACTTTAAATGTTAAAGCAACACTGTGTAATTTTGGATAGAAGTATGAGCTTAATTCCTGATTTTTTAAAAGTTTTATCAGATCAGTATACAGCACTCTGCCTATACCGATCCTCCGTCCAGGCTGTTCTCAAAATGTCACTTTTCTACCTCAGAGGGTCAGATCCATCAAAGAACAGGTCATGTGACCCACAGCTAAGTAAACTAAGTTGTTATGCAACAAAAAACACAATTAGACATATTTTTTGTGTCTCTCATGTAGGATTTAATCCAGATTAAAGAATATGGCCTTACATTTACCAGGACCTCCATGACTTCTCAATCTGCTATGAGATTAAAAAAACGCAGATTTAATTTGGTGACAGTTCAGGGTTGCTAGTTGCTTTTGGAACTGGATCCTTTCTGCTTTGTACTGGTTAATATCGAAGGATTAGACAGAGACACCATTTGTTATTCTAATGACATCAACAGACAGCTAAAACAACCATGTTTAGTAGTTTATATCAAAACTTAAGACGGGCATACACTGTACGATTTTTTGACCTTTTCAGGCAGATTCTCCAGTCCGAGATTTTTTCCATTTGGCCAAGTTTACGCCTCATTGAGCGTGTTAGTTATAGCTTTGCATGCTATCGCTATGTCCAGAAATTAGGAATTCTAAATATTTGGTGACACTGTGGTAAGCTTATAAAAGGTAATGTCTTCTAACTCTTGACTTACCTGAAGTGTTAGTTTTTGCCTTCTTAAAAATTAAGTCACTCAAATCACGTCTTTGCCGCCTCGTTGTGATGCTGTTCAGAAACAGCCTGCTCCACTGTCACCTGCTCCACTGGTTGCACCACTGAGGTTGAAAATGAAAGCGCATGTGCCCTCTGGGCCACTGTAATTTGGTCAGACTACTTATAAGCGCATAGCCTGCCAAATTTTGAAAGGGCAATATTATTTCCATTACTGTTAATATATAATAGAAATTTACACATTCATTGATAAAATGTCACAGGGGATGGTATAAGGGGATGGACATTTAAGAAGGGGGAGGATTTTAAAGATGTTTTTAAGAAGGGGGATGCCATCCCCCTTTGATGTCCCCCTTGATTAAGCTTGATGTCTCAATTAAATTGTGGACCTTGCAGCTTTCTTGTGATTTCTACTTTATTATTAGAATTAAACCATGGAACATTAACAAAACAAACTTTTAAATGCAAGTGTAGTTTGTTCAAAGATAAAAACGTATCTTATATTCAGTAGTTCCTTTTATTGTCTGATAAAAGTTTTCAAAATTGAACTATTGGAACTACTTTTATTAATGTGAAATAGCTAGTTCCTTATCAGAAGGAGCTGTTTATTAACAGTAAAGCTGAGCATACTATTACTTTAGGTACAACAATAAGAGGCAAAAGCTGAACCTCCGTTTAGACCTTATAGAATACATTTTAGTAACTGGACCGTAGTAAGTTTTCATTGAATGTCCCTTTTCTAGAATGTTTTACAGTCAGGTGTGTGAACAGTCTGAATAAAAATAGGTATTTTATGTAATTATAATAAAAATAGAAATACCAACCAGGTTACACTTCCAAACAAAAGCGGTGGACCTAGCAACCCTAGTAATGCTTTAAAAACATGTTTGTATTCTATGACGTGCTTGGGGCTAAGAAAGTCTTTCTTTCAGTCCATCCAAGATTTTAAAGGCAAAATAGAAAGTGCCACTCTATTAGACATAAGTTCTTCACATTTATTACATGTGATTATTACCGATATTTTTAGTAACTCAGTGAAGCAGTTCTGCTGGCTTTTTTTAGGTGTGTTACAGTAGTCATAATAACGATAGTTAATAACTCTTAAACTGTTATTGCCGTTCCTACATAATCATAGAAATTGAGCTTTTCCCTCAGAAACATTAATACTGAAGACTGATTAACACCTTAAAAGGGTTTTGCCTAAACATCATAACAAGAGCTACGTTTA